CTTACAATCAGTTTTTTTTGTTGATACTGCTCAAAAAAGTGCTTCAAAATTGTTTTTAATGATTATATTTAACAGTTCATTCAAAAGAAATACGGATAAGGCATTTGTTTGTTATATTTTGAAGAAATTCAATTTTTGTTAGTGTTTTAATCAAAACACTATGTTTGCCTATTTCTCCATATCCGACTTTTAGACTTAATACTTGTTCCGATGTGATGGGTCACATAATGTATGTGATTATAAACACTCATTAACATAATGCTCATTCTTGCTCGAGTGAATAAAAATATTGGTAAAAAATAATAAGGTGTGAAAGGTTAGAAAGTCACAACACTGTTGTTATACCTTATACATATACTGGATATACATATATCCAGTGAGAAACTGGTACGTACCTGATACATGCTTGATAATAGGTACCTGGTGGGCTTTCAATAAGTACTGGGATGTACATGTATCTACTAATATATCTACACAGTATTTTTCACAATGCGTTCATCTCTTTTAAAAAAGCTATGAAGCTGGATGAACACACTGAGTTCTTTTATACTTTTTCTRTAATAAAATTAATAAAAGGACTGACCTTAAGGCTGAGTGCTACAGACATGGCACTGAGTATAAACAAGCTGTTTGCTGTGTGTGTATTTATTGAATCACTGTCCAAAACTGAGCTTTTATCTTCTGCGTGTGGCTGATTCTCTGMTTTTTTTCTGTCCATAGGGGAGGTTTTTCACTCCTCAGTCCCAGGCAGACTGTCGCTGTCTTCGGCCTCGGACCGCTGTGTGTCCCTCGGGGGCCAGCTGGCCACCGTGGGACAGCTTTATCTGGCGTGGAGGGCGGGCCTGGACAGCTGCGCCCCGGGATGGCTGTCGGACGGCAGCATCCGCTACCCAGTGGCTTGGCCTCGTCCCGAATGTGGAGGCAGCCAGCCGGGAGTCCGCACCGTCACGCCCAACACCACTGCTGACAACACCACAGCTTTATATGACGCATACTGCTACAGAGGTATCCACTATGATTGTGTTTGTTGCAATATTGTTTCATGTCAACAGAAAAAAAGAGAGATGTGACAAAATAAATAGATTGACACATGGGTAAATCTTCCATCTCCATTCAAACTGAAGCTTTGTTGGGTGTTGATGCAGTAAAAATGACAATAAAAGACATTGCTGCTGTTGTAGCTATGGCAACGCTTATTTCTAATCGTGTATCCAAGAACCTGCTGGATTGACAGACGCCTCGTGAGAGAGGCAGGGAGAGAACAAAGACGAGGAACGATAAATATGATTTTCCCTCGTCAGTTCAACAATCTGTCGTGTGCAAACAATTTAAACACAAATCAAGCTTTTAGACGTTTCGCTGGCAAACCTCTCTTTAATTTGTTTCTTAGGTAAAGTGACGGAAACAGGCTCTGAGATTTACACCTCCCAGTGGAAGCCCTGGAGCTATCTCACAGGCTCGAGTGATGCTGAGTCAGCAACGACCAACAGCTCCAATCTGACTGCACAGCAAACCACCACGCTGACAGGTTTTCTCATCTACTACCCGCTCAGTTATGGTGTCTTAACCAGTGGAAAACACACCAGTCCTGGTAGAAATGAATTAGTATTGATTGCAGGTTTGATTTTTATTTTTAAATTGTAATTTCCTGCAGCGTCCTCAGACGGCAGCGACGTGTCACCTTCCAACTGGACGGGAATGGTTGACCTCGGAGAAGAGGCTCCGCCTGACGGCCTCTGTAAGTCTTACGCTGAAGCTTAAGGAATCCCCGATTAGTTGTAACGTTAGACTTTGTTTGATAAACATTTATTTTAACTGTAAAATAAAGACCGTAAAAATACTGTAGGCTGTTTAGTTTTGTAAATTTTTAAAATATATTTTAACACGGACAGAGCCATTTTATTTACACGCAAAGCATTCTGGGTAAATGATGACGTGGATAGGTCCTCGGTGTGAGCGAGCTATATCCACCCTGAAGGTTAATCTTGGACAATATCTGACGACTGGCTCAAATGAAACCAGAGAGCGTTGACAGAGAGGAGAAGGTAGAAATGACTCAGCCTGTAACTAAAAATTTGGATGGAGGACAACAGAGCTGCTTCATGGAAGAAGAACCTCAGCTTAGCCTGTTAGCCTTTGTGCTAGCACCAACGTTATACTGCCTTATATGTATTAGCTCGGCGCTAGCGCAACAAACGAGCTAAACTGAGGTCCTCCATCCATATTTTCAGTTGCAGGCTGAGTCATTTTTGCGTTCCCCTCTCTGTCATGTGGATGGAGGACCTCAGTGACGAGAGGAGAATGTGTAGCGCTGAGCTAATACATATATATGGTGATAGCGTCGGGGCTAACGCTAAAGCTAACAGGCTAAACTGAGGTTCTTCCATGAAACAGCTCTGTTGTCCTCCATCCATATTTTCAGTTACAGGCTGAGTCATTTCTACCTTCTCCTCTCTGTCAACGCTCTCTGGTTTCATTTGAGCCAGTCGTCAGATATTGTCCAAGATTAACCTTCAGGGTGGATATAGCTCGCTAGCAGCCTCACACCAAGGACCTATCCACGTCGTCATTTACCCAGAATGCTTTGCGTGTAAATAAAATGGCCCCGTCTGTGTAATATCTTTTAAACTTTTAGTTTAAAAAATGTAAAAACAGTATTTTTACAGTCTTTATTTTACAGTTAAAATACACGTTTATCAAATAAAGTCTGATGTTACAACTAATCATGGATCCCTTTAAAGAGTCTTCCAAACTGGATGAACAGTTACTGATGTTCTAATCATCTGAAGCCACAGACCCCTGGTCCTCAGAGTCCTTCATTACCCTCCAGCTGATCCCAGGACAGAGCTCCTTTGACTGGGGGGAACTGCAGGAGCCTGGGCCTGACTCAGAGGAGTTTCTCCGACCTCCAGTTCACCCAACTCCTGCTGACAAAAAGGTTGGTGTAAAACCTGAACCATGACATTCTATGTTATATCTAAAGCAGTTTATGGGTGCCAACTGTTTGCTTTCTACATTAGGTGATCTCAAAGATTGTTAAGTCCATCTGGAAGCCGTGGAACTACCTGGTGGGGACTGGAGATGAGGAGGAAACCAAAGAATCAAGTGAACATGAGGAGGGAAAGGAGACGGCAACAAAAGAGGCCGAAGAGTCAAATCCCTCCAGCCCTGCTTCACCAAGTAAATATGTTTGTTCTCTTTTAGATCAAAAGGTGGCTCAGCTCTTTTATGAACAAATTTCACAGACTCTATGAAGGTTTATTTTTTGTTACGACTGTCAGATATAGTGCAGAGTGAAAAAAAAGAAAGACTTGACGTCTGTCTTATTTTGTCTCATTGCCTCTCTCCACCATCCTCCCGGCTCCGTCCTGAAAATGGATCTTGTTCTAAAGGATGTCTCAGGTCATAAAAGCACCTGAGGGAGAGAGAGGTGAAAGGTTAGAGAAGGAGCTATAAAAAAATGAAGCACAAAGTTTTTTTTTTTTCAGAACAGGACCCATAATATCTTTAAAAAAATTGAGGCTTGAGTTTCTAACACGTCCCTAAAGGTATATTTTAGCCATGGTAAAGCTGTACAGTGTGACTTTGTGGACGGGAAGCTTAATAAGAAGCGAATGATTATTTTAGCGCATTCAAAGCAGCGTCCATAAATCCTCTGAAAGCTGTAAAATTAATGGAGTGAAAACCTGCTGCAAGCTCGGATTCCGGAGACGAGCTGAAGTCACGCTGACCTTTCTGTGATGCTCAGCCTGCCGCTCCTGTTGAGACACTAATGAGCTGTGATTGATAGCAGGTGGAACAGCTGATACATCTGGCTGTAAGCTCTCGTCAGAGCTCCTTGAAGTGAGACACAGTTGGCATCTTTATCCTTAACCCCACTGATGAAGAGGGACAGTTAATGCCTCCAGTATTCCTCAGCACCATGTGCAAAGAACAATATTTGATTGATGCTTAATCGAGTTTTAATCAGAAAATAGGAGCTTCAAATTCAAATTTAGATTTGAAGAACAGGCATCCCTTGAAGGAATGGATATCGCCCACTGCCTGTTAYGCTATGACTCTCAACTACTACTACACCAAATCATAGCTTAATGTGTCAGACTAAGTTATAATCAATGAGATATATTGACTAGAGGCTCTATCGTGTTCTGTTTCATGGTCATAGAGAGCAGCCATATTGTTCAGGGCRAGAACACCTCAAGAGCCAAGCTGTCAAAGCTGAATGTGGTAACCATGACATGTTCAATTAATGTCAGCACATCAGCCAAACTCAGTTTGCTATTTATTTTTGATTTGCTAGGAATGCTTGTCAGTACATACTGACTGTCTCAATTCAATGGCTGCGTCCTTCGAAGTTCGCATTTGTCGGCCTCTTGCATCACTGCGCCTCACCGGAGGCTGTCCCAAATCGTGGGCTCCTTCACATGCAGCCCACATGAAAGTCCTGAAAATAAAGGCTGCATCTGAGTATCCTTCCTGGCCGAGGATATTCCAGGATTCATTGCGCCATTGGCAAACTAAACAGAACAAAGTAATATGGCTTCTTTTTTTTAAGTTGTCGTTTGGATATTCACCACGGACCAAAGGTTTTTAGTTTTAAAAGTATGTTTAGCTGAGTAGCTGGTAAAATTTATGCTGCAATGAGATGTTAAAAAAGATACAACTACAAGTATTTATACTGGAGCCAAATCCAAATTATTAATGTTTTTTTAAAATTTACATGTAATGTTTTTTGTGAAGTTATTCCTCCAGTGAAAAGTGTGGCTACATGTCCCAGTGCATTTTAAGTATAAAGGGACATAACACCATGTTAACAAGGCACATAACACCATGTTAACGGTGTAGTTTGTGGTTGCATAACTGTAGAAAAATATGCGTTGTTCAAAATGGTACGTCTGAATAAAGAGGAATCTGCTGGATTTCTTCTTTAAACTTTATTTTCAATCTTCTGATTCCAATCAGGTTCACAGTACAGCACACAGGCCTCAGTAAGACCTTGGACTGAAACAGAACAGAAAAACAGGAGCACTGCAGAGACTCTGCCAAACACTAACAACTTCTTTCTACTATAATAATGAACTGAGCTTATAATGTTCATGTCATCCTGGTTACATCCCTGGAGGTGTTCCCTTTATGTCAGATGTCAGATCGTAACTCATTTTGTTTAGACTAAAGAAAGAACACACGATAACACACAACAACTCTTTGTCTGCTTTAACCTTACAGACTGAAACGATCAGAAAGTATAAAATACAAAACTGCATCTAACATTCAATTAATCAGTTACAAAATTTCCTTCATAACCATATTTCATTCGAAGACTAGACCGTTTTATGCAGCCTTCCCAGACTGTAAATGGTGCTGCCTATACATGGACTGTGGTCTAGGCTGCCCCTGAATTGGGACACAGCTTTTATCATATCAGGCACAAACATGTTGCCAAAGTGCACGCGTCTGCAATGTGTGCTTACCAATGAAAAACTAATATTTATATGCAATTCTACAAATATAACCACGACAACCCGCCCCTTCCAATATGGCGTCTCGCTTGTACCATTGCGGTGACACCTCTAGTCAATATAATTCATTGGTTATAGCTACTAATGTGTTTCCTTTGATTGGGTTGACATCAGAAGTTAATTTGTTGTCGATGCCAAACCGGTGCAGTGAATACTTGAAAGTTTTAATAAAATTTGCTCAAACACAGATAAGCACCAGCAAAAGCATCATCACCCTCTTATCTTTAGCGTTACTGAAGATCTTTTCTGAGAATAAGTCACACTAAAAAGAAACGTTCAAACCAAATCACTTGTTTTTGATCTCAATAATTCTCAGATTCATTTCATCAGCATCTGTTCTTCTGGTTGCAGCCGAAGGCCCTTTACTGAAAATAAAACCCTGTGGAGGATTTTATCATTTTTATTTCAGAAAAATGTTTTGCGTGTTTTCACAGCGTCTGGAAGCACAGCCTGTGTATCTAACTCCTTGCAACAGGCGGGGGGAATTTGTGCCAAGAAAATCGAGTTTCCTTCAAACACAAATCCATGAATTACAAAACAGTGAAATCTGTCTCATCCGTCCTCTTTTCCTTTTTCCCATGTTTCAGGGGGTCCGGCGGGTTTGTAGAGCTTTACACGTTGGCAGGGAGTGGAAGTGGTTTTCAAACAGCAGGCTGAGTGTTTGTTGAGACTGTGTTACAGAGATGCTGATTTAATTCTGGGGCAATTTATGTGACTGTGGTGCTTTTTGAGCTTTGGCACCGAGATGTTTGTGTCTGTCTTCACTGAGAAATTTTTAATCGTGTGTTTATCATAAGGTGTTTCTTTCTCTACCTTTTAATGTACCCTGTCATCTTCAGTTTTGACAATTCATTTTACTCATGCATGAAAATTGCAGGTTTCAAGCTGATGCTTTTTCTCTTGGCAATAACACTTGTTGTTTAATGTTGCAATCAGGTCACATAAAAGAGATCGTAAAATGCCTGCAAATTACAAGCATTTGCATCACAGAGAAGAGAAGATTGGACATTTTCTGAAGCTAAAATACAAAACAGTCTTCATATAATTTGATGTGAAATGTTTTCGGTTTGTAAAACTCACTTTCTGAGGCATCTTGCCTTTAAGAGATGGTTCTGACTTCCTGAAGTAGTTTTCTGTGGCGTTGTTTTTAGTAATAAATATCTTACCTGCTGCAGAAATTCTTCACACACCTTCTGTTTAGCCTTTTCTACCTCCCTCTATGTTGCATCTCCTTATGTTCCCATCTACGTCCTTCATTCCTCTCACTGTCCCAGTCCTTCTTGGCTAACCTCTTCCTCTGCATGAATTGCTGCACTTCACAGTTCCATCACCAGGTTTCTTTATCACCTTTTCTCTCTCTCCAGATCACACCAAATACCTTCCTATCTGTCTCCTAATCACTGTTAGTAACCCAGGAAGCTCTTTCTTACCACCCAGAACCCCCTTAGCAGTCGCCCCTGAAATTCCTCAAAAGCTTTTTGACATGTTTTTATTTTTTATTTGGGTGTCAAGCTAAAGGGAAGAACTGGAGGAAGTCGTCTGACACCAAGGTTTAAAATTGAGTTTAATTTAAATTTTAAAAAAGCCCCAGGTGGTGTCTGGAACAGTTTAAAGGCAGACGTTCCTCAAGCCCACCATTAGGTCTTCCTCTCTGACTTTCCTCTTTTCCTCTTCTTCACTATGACAGTCATCCCACACACGACCGTCCAATGCTGTTTGGCCATGCTCTCTGCTGCCACAACCTTCCTGTTCCCGATCTCCCTCAGGTTACCTCGACACAGAATGTAGTCTACCTGCATATTCCTGTCTACTCCTGTAGGTCACTGTCCATTTCTCTTCTTCACCATGGTAAAACAGCATGAGCCTTGCAGCCCGTCCTTGGTCTCTTGCACACATGATACACCTTTTCTTTCCTGCATCATGTCAGCCAGCTCTCTGCCTTTGCCGTTGTCCGTACGTTTAGAGTTGCTATTCTCAGTCCTACACTCTTGACTTTCCTCCTCTCACTCTGTCTCTGGACATGTTTCCCTCCTCATAGTCTTAAACAGACAGTAGCACAGTTTCCATCAACACCCGATTTGTCAGCAGCACCAGTGGTGGTCATTGTTAACCTGGGCTTCAGTTGATCCATTATGGTGTTGTTTGGTCGGACTCACGTTTGTTTTGGCAATGATGTTTAGCATCTGATGGCCTTCCTGATAACCCTTACCATTTGTCCAAGCTTGGGATCAGCATAAAAGATACACAAGCTTGGTTTCACTAGTGGCTGGTTTACAGACTTGATCTTGCTAAATGGTGATCCAGCTTCAGTAAAGTCTATTCTATTCTATTCTATTCTATTCTATTCTATTCTATTCTATTCTATTCTATTCTATTCTATTCTATAGTATAAATAGTTTTTTTGGTAGTTTTATAGATAATTTATATTTAATACAGTATTTAACAACTGATGAACAATTTGTTTATTAGGCATTATTAAAGATTTTATAACTGGATTAATTTTAGGAATGGCTGCTCCTCAATTCCTCAGAGAAAATGTTTGCCTAAACTTCACATTCAGAATGATCTGAGCAATATCAACTGCTGGTAAGATACTGACCACCTGTATCATCTTCAGAACATCATTAAAAAAAATCCAAACCGTTCCCCTCAACAATCTTTTCAAATATGACAGTTTGCTTTTATTGTTCATCCTCCGTTTGAAGCATTCTGAGGTCACATTGACCACAGTGACCTAAAGGCTTATGGAGTGAAAGAAAATGTTGGGCAGTAGCAAAACCTTGTCACAGAATGTTTGCCTTCACAGGATGCACAGAGCTCTGCTGGTTTTGATAAATGCACAAAGAGGAGCAGGTGATGGAAATCTTGGACAGATTATAAGTGTTTGTTTTGTTGCTTTTGGCAAAGCGGAGTGCATCTATCAGATAATTTTCTCTCTGTTTTGAAGTCACGGCTTTGATTTTTTGCACTCATTGCCACGACTGCTTGTTTCTGTGCTCCGCAAAGGTCTGTTTTCCTGGGGGAGCTCGTGGTTCGTCAGCCAGCCCGTGGAGAAAACTACAGCAATGAGTGAAGATTCACCCACTCATCTGGCATCGGCTCTAGCTTCGTCCTCGGGCTCTCCGACAACAGAGAGCGCCAAGATCTCAGCGAGCGCCAAGATCTCTGAGAACTCCAAGGCTCATACATCCACTCCCCCCAGCCCTTCACCTGATATCACCTCCTCTGGTAAGGAAGCTTGGATTGCAGTGGAAGTGGAGACCACAACAACACAGGCTCCTGGCAAGAGAGAGGAAACAGTGACCTCCAAAGCCAGCGGCAGAGGAGGAAGAGGAAGGGGGAGGAAGAACAAAGGGGAGGACAGGAGTCGAGGAGATGAGAGGGGGAAAGGAGAGGAAGAAGGAAGTGGAGAAATCACCGGCGCAGAGGCAAAAGGAGAGATTCAAGTGTCGCGTCGGCCTGTCGGGACAAGAGAGAGGTCCAGAGAAAGAAACCGAGAGAGGGGTCACAGGAAAGGACACTCCTCCAAGACCACCACCACCACCACTTTCATCCCCAGCAGTCCTCTGGAAACCACAGCCGTGACCACAACTGAGACAGAAAGTGACTTTTCTACAGCCCAACCCCAGTCCATTGTGTCTGGATCAGAAACCCCAACCCTGTCCATTTCACCAGAACCAGAACAAACTCTGTCGCCTTCTCCATCACCATTACCCCTGACCTCACCATCCACCTCCCTGTCCACCTCAATGTCTACCTCCCCGACCACCTCCCCATCAACCTCCCCGACCACCTCCCCATCAACTTCACCATCCACCTCAACRTCCACCTCACCATCAACTTCACCATCTAGCTCCCCGTCCACCTCCCCATCAACTTCACCATCCACCTCAACGTCCACCTCCCCATCAACTTCACCATCCACCTCAATGTCCACCTCCCCATCCACCTCACCATCTAGCTCCCCATCCACCTCACCGTCCACATCTCCTTTAGAATCCACACAGTCAGAATCCTTTCCTAAATCTCACTCTCTCCATCCATCACCATCCGATCCTTCTCCTTCCTCCTCACCTCCAAACACTTCCTCAGCCCCATCCTATTCCCCGACCCCATCCCCCCCCCCTTCCCTGCCCCCGTCCCCTCCCCAGCCCTCACCTCATGCTCAGACGGTCCAGTCAGCAACGTCTCCTCACGCAGAGCTCAATGACAGCTCCACAGCTCCTCTCACCACACTTCCAATGGTCCCAGAGGAAGGGCTGTCCCTAAACACCTCCCTTGACGATCCCCTGTCTCTGCCGGCACCCCAAGATGACGAGGAGGCCGCCTGGTCCCACGTCATGGGTTCGGGGGCCCTCTTGCCGGGCAACATGGAGGAGGAGAGCAGAGGAGGAGGAGCCAACATCAGCACTACAACTCAGAGTCCAACAGGTGAGCTTCTTCTTTTTAAATGACTTTTCTTTTAGTTGTTGTTGTGTCTGGGATTCAATTCCTGTGGGAGTTTTATGTTTTAGCAGAAAATACTTTGTGTTTCTGTAAATTATGTCATGTTTTTTTAACAAATGGCTTGAGGCTCATCTCAGTTCATTTTTCTCTCATGTTTTCTSTTTTATTTCTTTATTTTTTCTTGTTAAATAAGGTGGATGGAGCTTTCTTGTTAAATTGCTCCCTGGATTGCCATAGGCACTTTTCTGATTGTTGTTGTCTTACAATATCTGCACATTAAGTGGTCTGAAAGCTGATAGTAGTTMTTAAAGCTGAAGTAGGAATAAAACCAAAAGGTAAAAAAAGCATTATGAATTTAGTTCTACTCTATTTTAATGCTTTACTTTGCGTTTTTTAAACAACTGTGAGGCTTTTTTATAATGTGGGTGAATAAACGTGTGACTCACAATGAGACTGAGTCTAAAGATAGATCATTTCTAAAGGCCCTGTCACACTGTAACATTTTAGAAAACTCATGCTGACGTATACACATTTTGTCCCCCACAAATGCTGACKATCGCTCTAAACTGATATCATGTGATTGTTGCAATATGTTCCAACACGCTATGATAAGTTCATTATAAGTTACACTAAAGCTGCACAGGAGCTCTGCATAAGTCATGTTGTGGATAAGTTATTCCTTTTGTTAAACACAGAGGTGGGTGAGAGTTACACTTATTCAGTTACATTTTGAGAAACATTTTGGAGAAAAAGAAGTACTTTTGGGAGTAGTTTTACTACATATATTTTACTTTGCTTCAGTAATATGATTAGGTACTATCACTACTCCTGCTTGAGTAGACTTTCTGAATACTCACCCACTGTAACAAACGTTTTAACCAGAAATGCACCAGAGACACACCTACAGTTTATGTTTGTACACAAGCTTTATTGTTCTGAGGCTGTTTTCCATCTGCTGAGACATTTGGAGGTCAAGTGAATTTATGGCAAACAGTAGAGAGAGTCACTGGAAGTACTTTACCCACTTTCAYAAGTTTCATAATCAGGAAAAAAATGACTTTTGTAAGTGTTTCTTTTGCTGGAATTTGTTGTTTATTTACAATTTACGTTATTTATTTGCATTAATTTTATAT